GAATGGGTAATGATGTGGTAAAATAAATAAAGGAATATTTTTCAACCATGAGAAAGAAGGAAATTCTGCCATTTGTGACAATATGAATGGATCTTGAGTACATTATTCTAACAGAGGAAAGTCAGAAACACAAATACTGTATTATATCATTTATTGTGGAATCTAAAAGAAAATGTCAAACTCGCAGAAAGACCGTATAAGTGTGGTTTCTAGGGGCTGGATGCTAGGGGAAATTGGGAGAGGTTCATAAAAATGTCAGTAAATTCTCAGCCAAAATATGAATAAAGTCTGATGAGCTAATGTAAAACATGGTGACTATAGTTGATGACACTGTATTGTATAATTGAAATTCGCTTAGAGAGTAGAATATAAATGTTCTTTCTATTCTTTTGCATATGAATATCCAGTTTCCCCGGCACCAGTTATTGAAGAACTATCCTTTCTCCATTCTATATTCTTGCCTCTTTGTCATAACTTAACTGACCATATACGTGTGAGTTTATTTATGGACTCTTTGTTCTGTTCTATTGATCTATGTGTCTGTTTTTATATCAGTACCATAATTAATTACTATAGCTTTGTAATATAGTTTGAAATCAGGGGGCATGTTGCTTCTAGCTTTGTTCTTCTTTCTCAAGATTGCTTTGGCTGTTCAAGGTCTTTTGTGATTCCATATAAAATTTAGGATTATTTTTTCTATTTCTGTGAAAAATGCCATTGGAATTTTGATAAAGATTGCATTGAACCTGTAAATTGGTTTGGGTAGAATAGACATTTTAACAATATTGATTCTCCTAATCCTTGAACATGGACTATCTTCCCATTTATTTGTGTATCTTAAGTTTCTTTCATGAATGTCTTGTTGGTTTCAATAAAGAGGTCTTTTACCTCCTTGGTCAAATTTATTCCGAGGTATTTAATTCTTTTTGATACAATGGTAAATGGGATTTTTTCTTAATTTCTCTTTCTGATATTTCATTACTGGTATAAAGAAACACAACATATTTTTGTGTACTGATTATCAATTTTTGCTCAATCATTTATTCGCTTTGCAGAAGTCACTTATTACTTCTAACAACTTTTTGGTGGATTCTTTAGGGTATGTATGATATCATGTCATCTGTAAACAGTTTCAGTTCTTTCTTTCCTATTTGGATGCTTTTCATTTATTTTTCAAGCCTAATTACTCTGGTTAGGACTTCTATCACTATGTTGAATCAGGGTGGTGAGAGTGGGCAACCTTTCCTTGTTCTTGAATTTAGAGAACAAGTTTTCAACTTTTCACTGTTGAGTACAATGTTAGCTGAGCGCTTGTCTTTACTGTATCGAAGTGCATTCCCTCTATATCCACTTTGTTGAGTTTTTATCATGAATGGATGTTGGGTTTTGTCAAATGCTTTTTCTGCATCTACTGAGATGATCATAATGATTTTTACCATTCAATTTGTTTATGGTGTATATCACATTGACTGATTTGTGGGTGTTGAACCATTCTTCCTTTCTTGGAATAAGTCCCACTTGAGATCATGATATATAATTCTTTTAATGTATTGTTGAATTTGGCTTGTTAATATTTTGTTATGTAAAAAAAGTTTTGCATCTATGTTTGTTGAAGATATTGGCCTGTAATTTTCTTTTCTTGTGACATCTTTGGTTTTGGCATCAGGCTAATGCTGGCTGCATAAAATAAATTTCATCCTCTTCTATTTTTTGGAAGAGTTTGAGGATTACTATTAATTCTTCTTTGAATATTTGGTGGAATTCACCAGTGAGGCTGTCTGGTCCTGTACTTTTATTTCTTGGCAGGTTTTTTAAATTACTGGTTTAATCTCCTTACTAGTAATTTGTCTGTTTAGATTTTCCATTTCATTATGATTCAGTCTAGGTAGGTTGTACTTTGACATAATTGTTCATAGTTGTCTCTTATGATCCTTTGTATTTCTGTGGTATCAACTGTAACATCTCTGTCATTGCTGATTCTATTTTAGTCCTTTTTTCTTGTGAGTCTAGCCAAAGTCTCATAATTTTTGTTTATCTTTTCAAAGAACAAGCCCCTAGTTTCACTGATATTCTCTATTGTCTTTTTAGTCTATCATTTATTTCTGCTCTAGTCTTTGTTATTTCCTTTTTTCTACTAACTTTGGACTCATTTGTTCCTATTTTTCTGGTTCCTTGAGGTGTAAAGTTAATTAGCTTATTGGAGACTTTTATTTTTTAAGGTAAACATTTATCACTATCAACTTCCCTATTGGAACTGCTTCTGATGCATGCCACAAATTTCGGTATGTTATATTTCAGTTTTCATTATTTCAAAGTATTTTTAAAATTTCTCTTTTGGTTTCTTTTCTGACCCACTGGCTGCTCAATTGTATGTTGTTTAATCTTCACATATTTGTGACTTTTCCAGACTTCTTCATGTAATTAATTTCTAGTTTGGTACCATTGTGGGTGGAAAAGCTGCTCAATGTTATTTAAATCCTCTTAAATTTATTAAGACTTCTTTTGTGGCCTAACATATGATCTGTCCTAGAAAACGTTTCATGTGAACTTGAGCAGTATGTGTATTCTGTTGTTTTTGGATAGAATGTTCTGTATATGTCTGTTAAGTCCTTCTGATCTAATGTGTCATTTAAAGTTGATGTTTCTTTATTGTTTATCTGTTGTGTGATCTCTCTATTGACGTAAGTGGGATATTAAGTCCTCTACTATTATTACATTGCTATCTATTTCTCCCTTTAGGTTTGTAAATATTTGGTTTCTATATTTAGATCTCCTGTGTTGGGTGCATAAATATTTACAAATGTTATATCCTCTTGTTGGATTGACCCATTTATCATTATGTAATTTGATATACATCACTTTAGCTGGAAGGCCACACACTGGCTGAATGTGAAGGGATGGAAAATGATATGTTAGGCTATGGAATAGCTATACTGATATCAGATAAAAAGACTTTAAAACAAGAATAGCATACATTCAAATGTAATATTTTTTGTTTTGCTTTGCTTTATTTATTTCCCTGGGAATCTAATCCCTTCCTTCTGCCTGGCAATTTTAGTGCAAAGCTGATCATTAATATTTCCCTTAGAATTAAATTGAACTGGGATAGATCCTCAGTTTTAATTAAATTGAATTCACCTGTAATTAGTCTAACCCCCAACTTCCTTCATCATCATTGCCTTCTAGATCTTACCAATGTTTGGGGTGGTAAGTATTTGGCAATAGTTTCAGCATTTTTGGTTTACTTTCACATTAAAATTCTATAATCCAACTATTATGGACTATGCGGTACCATACAATTTGTCTCTGTTTCCTAGTCCTGTCTCAGTACCTCTTTCTCAGCAAAATTCTGGAGGGGATAGGGATTATTGGAATTATTGGGCAAAACAATTTGATTTTGCACTGGAGGCTCTTCCAGTTTCCAGCCTGTCTTGCCAGCCCATACTGCCACCTAAGTTTCACCTAATTTGTCCTTCTTCTCAAAGTCTCTGTTCATATCAGGCTCTCTTTTCTATTGGTCTGTACCCAAGACCAGAATTCTTCCCCAGGTCTCAAGCTATTTGGCTCTTTGTTCTTCTACAAAAGGCATGTTTCTCTCTGGAATTCAGTCTATCAAGGGTTTTTTACATGCACCATTCATTGCATATCCTATAGAAAAGTATGATTTCTATTTTGGTTTTCTTGTTACCATGGAATAGAAGGACTTTCATATCCTTCTACATCATATCAAGAGAAGAAGTCTCAAAAGCTAGTACTTCCCCATAAAAATACAATAGTTGTCTGGCAGCCTAAGGCTGAAAGACAGAGAAGAAAGGGGTCCAGGCTCAACATGAAGTAAGTCCTTAAGTAGGATACGAATCTGGGATTTCTAAAGACATAGACATGAGACCAAGCAAGAGTTTCAAATGGCAAGGGAAGATCGGCACTCCTACTAAGAAAGCAGAAGGAAGGAGGATGATACAAAGCCAGCTTTTCAGCAGCTCTTGGCAGCTTCCTATTCTTTCTTCCTTCTCTGTGCAACTAATATATGATAGATGCGTATTTTTGCATAAGTGGTAATTACATACTCCAGGACATGCTTGGTAAAAATGTGAATGCAATATGATTTTGCTTTCTGAAATGAAATAATGAATTTGGGAAATTTCATTTTTACTCTCTGTTCTTCTTTGGTCCCAAACAGCTGCCTAGGTCACTGTGTCTACGTAAAGGCACTCAACTATTCAATACTGAACAAATGCATGGGGAGAATAATGTGCAGGGTTGTCCACTGGATGACTTTGGGGGCTCAGGTTGCTGAGAAATGAGCTAGCTGGCTGACAGCTCCTCTCAGTGGGAAAAACTACACACAATCTTACTTCCCCCAAGGCTCAGGGACTGGGTCCTCATCTTTCACAGCATTCCCCAAGACAGCTGGGTTCAAGTTTAAATTGTTTGGCTTCTGCACCCACGTATTTATTTCCATCCCACTTCCTAAAGCCCCCCACACATACAAAAGCCCTAGTTATTCTTCCTATCGGTGGGCTCTATTAAGAGAACAGTCCTGTGCTACATCTAGCTCAATCATAATATAATTATATCAGATATTATATGCATAATATATAATTTATATAACCAATAGAATTATATATAATATGCTATTTATTTATATGCCTATTATATATAATATATAAAGTATATATTCTATATGATAATGTGTTATACAATATAAATAATTTTATAACTATATGTAGTAGACTATATGTAATTCTATTATATATTATCATATCTAACTATAATTACGTAACATTAGTTGCTACCATTTAAGGTAGCACATCAATACTTCCTAGTCCCCATCCCCCACAACCTTTCACCTACTAACGCTGATTACTTTTCAGCTGCGTCTCAGCTTGTTGGTAGTTCCTTCAGAAACCCTTCTCCACACTCTCCTAGCCTGGGTTAGAGACCCCCACTGCTTCCTCAGTGGCTCCCTATTTTCTCTATTGCAACACTTACCACACTACCTTGGAATTGCCTGTTTAGGTGTTGGTCTGCCCAACAGGAATATAAGCTCTATGAAAGGAGAGAGGTCAATTGCTTTGTTGCTTTTTATCTCACCAGTGCCCAGAATACTTCCCAGCACATAGTAGGCATTCAATAAGTATTTATTGAATAAATGATTAATTAATGCTAGGCACTTTATGTTATCTAACAGAAAAGAAACTGTCAATGTTTCCAAAATCCGTTAACTCACACTTCCTTCCTTAAACGTGGCTATAAAAGGGAGCAAGAAAACTCAAGTGAAACTCACTGTTAGAATATTGCCATTCTTGTCCACAGAAGATTAAACCCTGGAGGAAGATGGCTCGGCATTACCTATGGATCCTGCTCCTTTGCCTGCAAACCTGTGAGTTCGGACCATTCCTGATCCCCTCAGAGTTTTCTGATAAGTTTTAGAAATTGCTCTTAAGGAAGACATTGAAGTGCCTGTTCAGTCTGTGTTAACAGAAACAGCCTGGGTCTCCAAAGGGAACCAGCTGGCTGGGGAGAGGCTTAAGATCCAAGCTTGACTTTCAGCTTGGGTTTTATCTTTCTGAATTCCATCTGTGCCATCTCCAAAGGTCTGAGATAAGACCTTCTGCTCCAAAGAGGGAGCACATGGCAGCCCACTCAGAAAACCCAGCAAAAGGATAGATAATTCAAAATCTTGAATAACTTAAAAGCAATTTCTTTTTGGCATTTGGATGCGTTACACAGTTTTTAACAGACATGCCCTTCCCAGTTATATCTCATTGATCTATCAAATTAGAGTGATGCATGACTATAGTTAATGTAAAAACTTCATCCCTTTTACATTCAAAGCACAGTCAGAGCTATTACTCTGCTTCTATCCCCCCAAAACTCCTAGATAAATGGGAAAGAGATTGTTATCCCTGTTTTACAAATAAGTTAGTTCTCAAAAAAGAAATGGAGATCTTGAAATAAAAACTCTGTGTTTTCTTACTTATGACTTAACAGTAAACTGACTAAAAAGGATGAATGAATCTTGGTTGATGTTAGTACAACAAAAACTATGTAACATTATATTAACATAGCACCGGGAAGTGTTTTGTCATTGCATGTATTATCTCACTAAATCCAAACAAATGCCTTGTTTATATAAAAACTGACTATGTTTGGCATTTCTAAACCTCTTATCAGCTCTGAAAGTGCATTAGCAAATTTCTGGCATGAGCTAGAACACAGTGAATCTAGTGGGTTAAGATTTCCCTTGAAGATAGAATCAATACACCTTGGTCTCTGGTTCCCTTGACCATTTAAAGCTGTGGCTCTTTTAATTTGAGCTTCATGGATATTCAAATCACAAGGCAGCCAAGTTTTTGGAGCCTATGCTAGTCACCCTGACAAGGCAGACAGCAAATGCAAGTAGATGGGAAAAAAAGTTGGATAGAACCTGAATGGAAACCTAGGGGTGCCCCTGATCTTCCAGAGAAGGGCTGACCAGGGTGGCATTTGATAACATTTAATTTGCAAAGCATTCTGTAATTTTATGCCTTGTGTGATCCATACTAAAACCAATGAAATATGAGATATTATTAATCCCATTATGCAAAAAAATGTATAAGCTAAGAGTCAGGTTAGACAATTCACCATCAGTTTCACAACCTGAAATTGGTAGAGCTGGAGAGGGACATGGGTGCTTCTGACCCCAAGGCTATAGCTCTTTCTGACCTCCTCATTCATTAAGTTTTCAAGTCCTGACGCTCTTAAAAGAGCTAACATATGCTAAGATAAAAATCAGCTCTTATGATGCAAGTGCTTTATGTACTGAAACTGAAATCAAAGTCATCAGATTAGCTGGAAGTGAATCATTGGTTCATTAACTTTGTGACTTTGGAGAAGTTGTATAAATTCGCTCTGTTATTTTAACTTCAAAATGGGGAAACTATTTGAACAATAGGATTGTTTTGAGAATCAAAATTATAACTCACATACAACACGTGGCACAATACCTAAATACAGTAAGTGCTTAACAAACATTAGCTAATGATGTTGTTTTTCCCACTTGTTTCTCATGTAGTATTAGGAAGGGCCGGGGCTATATTACACAGAGACCCTGGGCAGGACTCCTCTGGGATGACCCACGGAGCATGAGCAGAAGGAAAGGCGGTAGGGCTTTGAGCTTATGCGTGGACTGTTGGGGTTCTGAAAGAAGAAACCGGGGGTGAGACACTCAGTTTGTCAGAGTCCATGAAATCAGAGGTGGGGGCTTGTTTTTATAGGAGTAAAACAAGAAGTACTTTAATGTACTATTTGCCTTTGCTACATGGAGTATATGCCTCTTAAATATTATTCCACAGACATTTCCTGAGTGTAAAAATACACCCTAAATTCTTCCTGTTGCTACTCTTGGTGAAGGTGGTCCTTTGTATTCAGCACTGGACTTATGGATTTTGTGCACTGCCCTGAAATTCAGAGCTGTTGAAGCAGCAGTGGAGAAAGGAAGTTAGAAACCCCCATTTTCCCTTGAAGTCACTGAAATAAGAGAAGTCTTAGTATACAAACTCGTGAGTTTTCCATGTTGGAAAAGTTTTCTCTAAGGACCAAGACTCACAGTCTCATGCTCTGATCCCAATGTTCCCATCATGACGTGTGAACTTGGTGACTCTGATCAGCCCTCCAAGAACCCTACCAGCCACCTGCCTGACAAGGTAGAAGACAGAAGAGCCCACCACTTTTTCCACGCCTATTTTCCACCGCCTGCTGTCTCTCACACTCATGACTCCACACCTTTCTTGCTTCATTTCTTCAGTCCCTCCCCCTTGTTCCCTTCTCCTGCCCCTCATCAATCACAGCAATAACTAAACATTATGGAGCAATCACTACATGCCTGGCATTACTCTCCGTAGTCCACATTTATTATTTTGTTTGATCCTCACAACACCCCATGAGATGGGTACTATTAATACCCCAATCTTACAGATGACAGTGTAGAAACAGAAAACTAGAGGTCACTTTGCCAAAAAAGAGGAGGAAGCAGGATTTGAATTATAGTGTTTCAAACTTAGCCCACAAACTGTGCTGCCATTATCTACTTTGACACTGAAGTGGAATAAAATACTGTCCCTCCTATTGACCATCATCACATTTTGAGATTTGTCCAGAAAGACAGGATTATTCAGACATAGACTGGGCCTGTCTCTGCACTTCTCAGGGAGGGTGGGGGCTGGTGGGCAGGTCTTTGGCTGTAACAGAAGTTTATGCAGGCCAGCAAGGCAGAATATCCAGGCATATCAGACATGATTCAAATATCACGCATGTCAGTATGATTTGGGTTGACAAATTAGCTTATTCAAAACACACAAGGGTCCAGTATCCTGGGATTAGAAACGGTATTCATACCTGGAGAGGAGTCCTAGCGAGGGCCAGTCTGCCACTGATCCAAAGTCCTTGCAGAGAGAGGCCTTCAAGATGCAGGTAAAGCCTCCATTCTGGAAAAAGATTTGAGCAGAATATTACCAGACACTCAGAGATGGCTGAAAAGTGAAAGCCCAGTTACAGAAGTAGAAAAATATATTATGTATGGGGAAAAATGCATATCAGGACATGAGCTCAAAAATGCAGTTTCCAAATAGAGGGTGGGAAGCTGCGTCTCCGTGACAACTCTGGGCTCCAGAAAGAGGGAGTAAAGACCTTCCTCTTCAGCCCCATCTGCAAAGGCAGCCCCAGAGATAAATGTGGTGAGGGACAAAGCAGCTGGAGCACCTCACAACAGGAGCTGAGGTCAGTGCTGGGCCGCTCAGGCTACTGAAGTATTTCCTGAATCAAACCCTTCTTGTCTTGAACCCTAGAGAGGGATGAATCTGTGAGTTTTGGGGTAACTAGCCTCATCTATGTGGAAGATGGAAAAGCAGGAGGATGAACAATCTGTTGGGGGACTGATGTTTGGGGAGGTATGCACCCCTGTTTTCTCCATTATACTCAATTTCTGTCTATATGCTACTACAGGGGAGGGGTGATGAAACAATTTGGCCAGGATCCCATCTCTGTTTTGATAATTTTTATATTTGGTTTTGTTTGTTTTGAAGAAGTTGATTCAAGTCAACCTAAATCTCAATAAAGATGATGTAAAGTAAAAAATCCAGCATAAAATTGTTTACTATTTTATGGGGTGGTAGGTTCTTTTCCCAAGACCTCATGACCAAGGGCTTTCCATTCTCATGGAGAATGGCACAAACTTCTGGCGGCTCAGCCTTTTGTTTCCTCTTTGCCCTCTACTTCCCCTCACTCAGCCTGAATGGCTCTAACCAGCTCTCTTTGGGTGCCACAAGGTGCAGCTACGTCTGGTTGTCCTGCCAGGCCTGCAATGTTCACGGAGGTTCCCCCCCACTTCTGGATCTGGGCTGCAAAGGAGGGGGCGGTTGGCTAGGGCCAAAGGGAAAATGAGAAGTGCTTACTTGCAGGATCCCGATGAAGTAAGGGGGTTTGGGTCGCTGTTAAGCTACAGTGCAGTTGTCCTCACTTCCACCTTCATCAATAGCTGCATGGTGACATTCTCCAACATTCCAGCTCTTGCTTCTTATTGCTGGAAAGAGGATAATTGGGTCAGTAGCCAAAAACACATTCATTCTGCCAACAAACATTTAATAATCATCCACTAGTTGTTAGGGAAATGGTTTGGAAAGAGGATAATTGGGTCAGTAGCCAAAAACACATTCATTCTGCCAACAAACATTTAATAATCATCCACTAGTTGTTAGGGAAATGGTAGCGACCAGAATAGACCAAGACTCTGCCATCTGGGCAATTACATTCTACTGGGGGCCGGGGAGGGGAAGACAATAAAGAACAGTGCACATACAAGGCTTTAGCAGTGGTAACTGTCACGAAGAAAAATAAAGTAAGGCAATAGACAGTGGTGGGGAGAGATGATCAGGAAAGCTCTCTGTGATGAGATGACCCCGGGGTAGAGTTTCACAGAGAGGGAAGGCTGACAAGGGCTGTCACACGAGAGGACAGCAAGCACAGAATCGCTAAGAGGTCCCGGCCCGTTTGAGCAGGGAGGAAGCCAGTGGGGATGGAATGAGTGAGGAGGCAGTGGCCAGCGCAGGCAGGGCCTACAGATGATGGCAGAGTAAACAGAAGGAGGCCCCCCAAATTGCAGGTGTGCACCACCTTTGGTCCTCTAAGAACTGTGAGGTTTTAGGTCAAACTGCCCTCTCTATTGTCGTCAATGTTTGATATCTCAAAATCTCTTTGGGGTCCACCCAACTCTTCTTTAGCAAGTTTTTCTTGCTCAGTTCTCAGGAGTTTCCCTCTAGCAATCCTACCCCATCAATATTTCTAACCCAGATGAAGTTTCTGATCCTGTTTATTCCCCAGATGCCTTTCTTTTTCTCCTAGCTT